CACTGCAGCACTGGTGTTAGTTAACATGGCAGATCATATGGGTGGGGCATTGTGATGTCCCATTGTGATGGGATTCGGGGGGGGGGCAGCACTTTGGGGTACTGGGGGGCCGGGGGGCCCAGACCTTGAGCTGTGTCAGGGGCCCCAACATTTCTGATGGCAGCCCTGACTACAGTGTCCCTTTAATGTGAGGTAAATTAGAGATTAGTGCCACTAATAATATACTGGATTGCCTACTTACCACCAGATGAAAACAAGATGATGATGGGCTCAGGCTGCAGTCTGGCTCCACTGATCTGGTGTAGAACAGGCTCTATGGAGGCTGTTTGTATCAGTGCTCACAAAAACCAACGAACAAGAAGCAGCTCCACTTTTTGGGGCCCCTTACACAGTTCAAGGTCTGGGCCCCCAGGGCCTGAGTATGCCTTCAAGGCCCGCCTATAAATCCACCTACATGGCCCACATAAGTTCGCACACAGGGAGTGGAGTGTATGTGTGTGGGGGATAAGTTATGTGTTATTGTAGAAGATGTAGTGTGTGTGTTCTTATAGAATGGAGTGTATAGGTATACCAGTTTGTGTACGGGATGTAGTATGTGTATAGTGGATGCAGTGTGTTTGTGTGTAAGGGATAGAAAGCAGTGTTTTTGTATGTAAGGGATTCATTATGTGTGCAAGGGCTGCATTGTGGGCGGGTGTGTGTGTGGGGGATGCATTGTGTATGTGATGTATGCATTATGTGTAAGGGTGAGTATGTAAGAGAAGCATGGTGTGTGCCTGTGTGTGTGTAGGATTCACTGTATGTTTCGGTGTGTGAGTAAGGAAGCATTGTATGTTTCTGTGCATTTGTGTGTAGGGATGCATTGTGTGTTTCTGTGTATGTGTAAGGATGCACTGTGTATGTGTGTAATGTGAAAGAGCTGGTTTGTGGGGTAGAATATGGGCAGAGAGGGAGGACATTCTAATTTAGGGCCCCCACCCACCGCTCAGGGGTGGGGGCCGAGGGGGTGGACAATAGGTCCCCCCCATTCTAATTTAGGGCCCCCACCCACCGCTGAGGGGTGGCGGCTGAGGGGGAGAATAGGTGTCTCCCCCCTCTTATTTTACTTTAGGGCCCCCACCCAATTCAGGGGTGAGGGCCAGGGGGGGGGGGGCAATAGGTACCCCCTTCAGTTTAAAAGCCCCCACTCGCACGGCACGGGTGGGGGCTTGGGAGGGGGGACACGTTGTTTTCTTTCCACAGGCTGCTCACTGTTTAA